CTATTTTGAACAAATTTTAAATAAAAGTCAAGATAACACCCTGCTACTCCCACCACCTTTGTGCTCCACCACTGTAGATTTTTAGAATCAACAATCAAACTTTGAGAGTGAAGTGTTTGTAGGGCTAAACATTCAAACCTGACGGATGCTGATGTCGACACTTTAAAGCCGTCACTTTACTGTAAAAAAGCAGAGGAGAGCGATGCAGCAGTAAAAACAGAGGAAGCAGATTATGAGTCAGCGTTCTAGTTTCGTACGAGCCACGGTGGCCAGCTAGAGCTTTACAAAAGAAATGAAAAATATAAATCTTTTTTTTTTCTTTTCAAAAAAGGCCATTTTTAAAACACTGAAAATGAAAATGTATTTTTAGTAGTAGTAGTAGTAGTAATAGCAGTTGAACAGTATTTTACATTATTGTAGATGTGTATAAACTCCAGCAGTGGGTGTGTTGGTAGGTGAGTGTGTGAATGTGTGTGTGTGTGTGGCTGCTGCAGGAGATCAAAGCACAGGACTGGTAAATGAGGTCAGAAACAGGAAGCACTAAGACACGACCACATGACTTTTCAGATTAAGATTGACGCAGAGAGAAAAAGTTTTACTTGATAACTGGTTTTCTCTGTACTTTTTTTTTAAACGAAAGTTTGAGTTTCTATACTTGGCCAGTCCTCGCATCACTGACCCCACAGCAGCCACAAACCACTCCATTACAACCACAGAGTATATTGTGACAGAAATTGGGTGAAGACCATTTTCATACCCAGCCCAGTTCCTCAAAACTTCATCAGCTCCCTCCACAGGTAACACATGGAATTATTCCGACTATAAAGAAACTGACCTTTAGGTCGAGTTAAACACAAATCATCTTCAAAACAACCATTTTTTTTTCTCTATGCTCATAAAACCCATTTGAATCTGATCCTGGTGCAGCTGAGGAAGTTGTGAGGAAACGCCCCGTCGGTGCAGTGATGTCTTTCCAAGGAATTTTCCCAACAGTGTGAGTACAGTGGAAGCACAGATGTGTGAATCCCGGGCCAAGAGTCTACTACCTGCAGCAATTAGTGCTGACCGGCTTTTCAGCTGACGTTTACAAAAATCACCGGGCTGTGTGTGTGAACTCCAGCGAGCTGCTCAACACCTGGAAACAAGGCTGTGAATGTTAATTGCAACTGCAGTTTGCAAATTGTGTCACGTCAACAGGTTAACCTGCAAACCCTGTTGCAACATGGGATCTGAAAATTTGTTTTTTAAAATTATACGTAATTTATGGGCTGAAGAAATTTCCCACATTGTGTTTTTGTAATGCCAAAGACCTCTTAATAAATAAATCTTAAATAATAATTGACAACCAAATGGATCGGCAACTTCCTCCTATTAAACTGAAAATGAAAACAGACACAAATAATAACATCTTGAACTTAAATATTGAACTTAAAATGGAGTACAGCGAGTTCACTGAAGAAAGGCTTTAGCGAAAAATGAAAAATGTCAGTCTGGTGGACTCAAGGATAAATCATTTGCTGTGTCTTTAAATCAACCAAAGGGTAGAAAAAAAAAAGCTCTGAACCGTCAGTATTTGACAGCTACACACACACACACAAAATGAAATTGGAAATTAAACGAGGAAAAGAATGAAGTATTTGAGTTCCACTGTACTCTAGGTCTAATGAATATCACGTTAAACCAACACTGTTGCTAAATCCAAAGACCATCAGTGCACACTTTTGGGCCACGAGCCAACACCCACATTACTGTACCGGTATGCAGATGACAGTGATGCTTTACAGTTGTAGTAGAGATATTGAATTAAAAAAAAAAAACCTGTATAAAAACTCCAGTCTACAGTATCTACGAAGCAGGAGAGGGCATTTGAAGCCACACTGTAAATACAGAATAATAACCAGTTTGTGTGTCTGCTAAGGCTGCACAATCTCTTTACCGCCATTATCAAAACGGCGAGAAGTTCAGAGTCACTGGATTCCTTTCTTTGACCCCTTAAACAGAAGAAAATCTCTAAAAGCAGCGTGTTTGACCCCGCCCGACTCCTCCACTCTGGGAGAGAACGTTCCTCTTCCTTATCATTCTGGTGAGTATTGTGCAGCCTTGGCTTTAGCTACTACATGTTAAGGCCATACATGAGAGGCCTTGTCTACTACAGCTCTTTACAAAGTTAGGCTACTCCGAACACTGAATAATGAAACCAAGCTAACATGTCTCTGACTCGGGTGCGGTTGACCATCTGCTGCAGAAGTCAGCGAGGCTCAGCGACGCTGAGTGATGTCCTCGCTTCATAACGTTACTGTCGCGTATATTGTCATGGTCGGTTTTTTTTCACGTTGGACTTTGTAAAAGTGGTAGCCAACACAGAAGTTCAGAACTCGTCCACCTGTCCTGAAGTTTATCATTAGCCTTTAAAAACATGGCTTCCTTGACCTAGACGATGATCTTTGAAAAAAAATCTGACATTCAGAAGAGGACTGCTTATCGTGTTTTGTTTTTTGTTTTTTTCCTCCTAAATTTCCTCCTCTGTGGTGAGGAGGGACGTGTAGACAGTGAGTGACAGCGTGAATCGTCTATGATGGCTACACCTGAAGGACAGAGGAGGCAGAGACTCTGCTCTGTCACCTGGATTAGAATAATACTCTCCTGGGGTTGTTTCACTCTGAGTAAGCTCACACTTCCTGATGTGTTCAGGACCATATATACATAGAAAACTAGTCATCTTTACATCATAACCCTGTCATACCAACTCTGTTGTGTGTGACTGAACGTGTGTGTCTGTGTGTGTAAGCTGTGTGTTCAGTTCAGCAGCATTTGGCTTTTTCTTAAGGGGGTTAACATGAGAGACCAGGAGAGGACTGGTTGTTTTTTTGTTTTTTTTGTTGTTGTTGTTTTTTATGCCGAGAGTCCAGGTTTGACTCGTTTGCGGCGGTGAAGTAGAATCAACAGTGTCGGTAGAGTGGGTTCGACCTTATTCTTGACAAAAAAAAGCATCAAACCCAGCCGACCTGGACGGCCTTTGTAGAATCGTCTGACATCCTTATCTCAACATTCTACATCTCCGTAACAAGAGTGTGTGTGCGTTTATGCAGACGCGCTGTAAATGGGCTGCTCTGATACACGGATCTGTTCTTTGGTGTGGTCACGTTAGAGGACAGTTCAGCAGCTGTCCAGACAGAAGTACGACAGAGGAAGTACATCGGACTTATTTGAATGTCTGTTCAGCAGACCTGGATGTAGCAACCGCCGGAATACTTGTTACTTTACAGTATTTGTCCCAATTATGCTGCAAAAAAAAATTAAAAATAAAAGAGAAATTCAACAGTCAGCCCACAGCGCCGTTGTTTAAGGTCACACAAAGAATTTCAGTCCAACTTTAATAGAGGAGGATTTTAACTGTCAGTTTAACTCCTAAAATCCCCAAAATATCATTACAAATCAAAGGCAACATGCACAAGTTGACCTTGTTCTGCCTTCCACAACTTTAAACTATGAAGCACAACTCATAACAACTAACCCAAAATTAACATAGCATAGCGTGCTTCACAATATTCTTCCTGGTCCAAAGGTTCCAATTAGTCTCTTTTTAATTTCTAATTTATTTCCTTGGAATGAAACCTTCAACATAATTGGCCATCATTTATTTTCTGGCATTACAGGTGAATCACAGAAGTAGTTCCGAAGAATGATTTGCCTTTCCTTAAAATATATTCTTAAAATCTGCTTTTAACTAATGGGCCCTTTATGTCGACTGGATAACAACGTGCATTAATTGGACTTTTTTTCCCCATTTTTTTCTCTAATGAAAGTATTTGGTGACTTTAAACAACAGCGCCACACGCAGACAACGGCTGAATTCCTCCGTTATAACCAGATTCTGAATGCGCGACCACCAGACCGACAGCTGGCTCTGGTGGCTGCGCTGAGAAGTTAAACCCAGGGCTGATGATTATTGTCACACTGAGTAAAAGGAGCATGCTCAGTAGTAGGAGTTTGAACAGAGAAGCTTGCCAAATAAGGACCTAGGGGACATACACCATCTAAGATATACCGTATGTATATGTAGTATCTGCTTCTTGTGTCGCTTTTTTTTTTTATATATTTTTTAGCCTTTTAGTCTTCTTTTTAAAAGTTTTTTTTTAACCCCTGAGAATACCATGGACTGCTTAAGTACAAAATACAACTCTCTGAGAGAACAAAAACTATTAAAAAAAAAATACAAATAACTCAATTCACAAACTTACAAGCACAGGCCTCTGAAGCTGATAATTACATTGTCATCATTCATCGAACGGTAAGAACCATGCAGAACAAAACCGGGAGGGACAACAGCTTGGTCACATCGAACAACAGGCAGAAGAACCGCTCCATTATAGAAGTAGAATTTAAAGGTAGTGTATGCAGGAATATTGGGGGAAAGCTCTCCCCTGTAGGGGGAGCTGTAAACTGAATATAGATGCAATACTTTATTAATGGTATAACGACAGTGTTGTATATATATATATATATATATATATATATATATATGTATATATATATATGTATATGTATATATGTATATATATATAATTTTGATTTATAAAATTGAAACCAATTCCTGCATACTCATACCATGAATGATTAACTGTGCCGTAAAATTTATGCCAAGAGTAGAATTTGCAAATAATGTATGTATTGGCTGTTTTTAACCAGGTACGTTAAATAATGGCTCAATATGTATGTAAACATTCAGTTATTGGCTATAATTTAAAAAATAAAACTAAGTGTTGCTCCTACTGTTTGGATGTGGCCCAAGCTCCGCCCCTCCATGGCTGTTAACTGCTGTGATCACACTGTGGGGGCACAGAACAGTAGGCAGCTCTTTGCACCGATAGTACAGTTGTGGCTCTGCTTTGATAAGCATCACAGAAGCTTTGTTGATTATTGGCAAATGCTGCGTTTAGATCCTTGTTTCAGGCACTAGACAATTGTTAAGGTGACAAGGAGCTGCTGGCTACACCAGTAACCATTCCGATAGGATTTCCTTTTGGTTTGATTGTTCCAAGTCTGATTGAAAAGAAGGCTAATTGATCTACTTAGTGATTGTTTGGTTCGATTAAAAAAGTGAAAGCAGGGGCGCGGGGTAAGCAACAGAAGGCACAGAGTTTCTATGGTGTTTCGAAAATGGTTATCGCGCAAAAAAATCTGGGCTTGAAAAAAAAAATGAACCGAAAAATTGCAAAAAAATCTGGGCTTGAAAAAAAAATGAACCGAAAAAAGAAAACAATGAAAACAGTTGGAGAATGACTCGAAGAAAATCAGTTGGTGTCAGCTAACGGAGTTTCTATGTCTTTGTCTCTGTGTGACAAAAGGAACGAGCCAGGGTTGAGGTCAATTTCCACTTTCACAAAGTAATCAAAAAAAAAAAAAATCTACTTCTGCTTTTTCCGCAGGGACAAAATTGTGAATGGGGTTTTTGAAACAGAGGCAAGGGAATCGACCTCAACTCTGAATAAGCTTCTATTTCCCACACAAGTGCTTACATTACAGCTCTAATGACTACTTGTGCTTTTCAAGGCTGTCTTACTTCACCTCCACACACAGTTTGCGAACAACTCTAGTGTGAAATTGTCTTTCATACCATCAATCATATTGAAGGAAACAAGAAGTTGTGGGATGGATCTCAGGCCGTGAGGGACCAAACAGGAAGCAGACCCTGAAACCAGCTAGAACAATAGGTACAATAATAATAATGCCCCAAAGTGTTTGTTCTGACAGATACCACAGACATGAGGCCAGAACAGGGTACTTCAACACCCAGAATTAGAATCTGAATCTGAAAGACAAAAACAAAAAACAGTAATGTTTCTTTCCTATTTACTTGAAGGTATCGCAGTACAGTCCAGGGGGAGAAGCTCTGCTGATCAACCAGGAAAATGGCTACATTCAAATCCCGCGGATATTCTCTGTTGGTGAACGTGACAGGAATTTGGTTGAACAAACCCATCCAGACGTGGTTTGTTTCAGATTTTCTGGGCCACAGATCAACGACCCGCTGAGACTCAGTGTGGATGTCTGTGTGTGGAATGGAGTCTCGGAAACCTTAGGACGCCAGCACGCTTCTCCTCAACAGGTCCTCGTTCCCAGAATGCAACTGCGACAAGCGGAGCTTACGTCGGCCAGAGTGCGTGTCTGAATCGCTCTGCTCGCCGTCAGAGAAGTACCCATCGGTCTCTGGAGCATCCGTCAGGGACATGTCCTTCCCCGTGAGCTGCAGTTCCGTTGACTCCAGACTCCCGATAGCTCCGCCTCCGTTGACGCTCCTCCCTTTTGATTTTCCATGGCGTGGCAGACGCATGCGTGAAGCTCTGACGCAGAGCGCGTCGCCTCCCGCGACAATGTGGCTCGAGGCTGGCGGCGGGGATGACCTTGTGGTGAAAACAGATCCAGCCCCCGATGTGACACCGTTTCCACCTCTGACGCTGTCCCACGGACCACGGTCCTCTGAGATGTGACATGAATCCATTTTGGAGATGGGTGGCTGCGGTGAAGGGTCGCCCTGGAGGTCAGACGTCCTGTTCTTGTGGTGGTGATGGTGCTGCAGGGCCTTCGATGATCCTCGGGACTTTTCCCCTCTCCGTCCCACCTGGCCAGACTTTTCCTCGGCTGCTCCCGCCCAGAGGTTTTCTGCAGTGGAGGGGCTGCTTGAGGTGGATATGACCGACGCCGAATGAAGCTTCTGGGCCGGGGCGGAGGTCTGACCACGGCCACGGGGCTTGTTGCCTCCACGTTTGCGACCGAGCTGTGGCGTCTTCCAGGTGGACTGCATGGAGTTCTCCATCATGAGGTTCAAAAGGCTCTCCTCCCCCTGCAGGAGCTGTGCGAGAAGTGCAGGAGTTAGAAGGCGACGAACAGCGAGACGAACATCAGGTGAAACAACGCAATTCACAAACTTACCAACAGGAAAGATTTTAAACAAACAAACAGTGAAGTGACAGCCTCATATGTTCTCATGTTCCTGATGTTATACTTCCTGTGCCAGAACTGTTAACAGAACTGAACTGAAGAAGCCTCTTGGATGGATAAGATCTACAGCTTATCCACTGAGTTATTCCTTTCAAATAAATAATTTATTAATGAATTAATGAGATTTATTTCATCATCTGTCATGCTAACCACTGTAGCCAAATGTTAAGATGCTTTGATTGTTTTTTGTTGTTTTTTTTTCACAAAAGAAATTAACAATAGTCAGTGTTGTTTTAAGCTTGGTCAGATTGACAGCTCATCATCAGATCAATGTGAACAAAAGGTCACACAAAGGTCACTTTTTCTTAAACATACTATATCAAACTGTTGGCTAAATGGCTATTTTGACTGTAATCAGACCAGACAGACAGCAGTTAGCAGCCAACACAGTAAATGTATCTGTTATTATTGCTAAATGTTATCACCATAATTTTGGGGCTGTGAAAACCATTCACCAACAACAACAACCGCCCATGATCTGCCTGCCAATAATTAGACAATTGCAGCTAACACACATTTGAATTATGCAAAATAGCTACTTGTGAGCTCATTTATTCCACCGTGACTACAATGATCCTGAAGTATAACCCTATTTAGATCACTAAAAAAAACTCCACGAACCTCCTCTTTGCTCAGAAACCTCAGAGGAATCTTCCTCCGGGTCTGTTCCTGCTGGAGTCCTA